CTTTCTTTTGAATGTTATCTGTTTCTTCCCTCTTATCAGCTTCATTATTTTTTCCTTGTCCTGGATGCTTGGGAGCTTTACTATTATGTGTCTTGCTGTATTTTCCTTTCGTCGTGGAAGTTTGGTGTTCTTCTTGCTTCTTGTATATCAATTTTCAGTTCCTTCTTCACATTTGGGAAGTTCTCTTCAATTATCTCTTTGAATATTTTCTCTGTTCCTACATCTCTCTCCTCTCCTTCTGGTATTCCTATAACTCTTATATTTCCTTTCCTCATGGAGTCAGATAGTTCCCGGAGTCTTTCTTCGTTCTTTTTCCTTCGTACTTCTCTTTTCTTTTCTGTTTTATTTCTTTTTATTTCTGTGTCTTCAAGAGTACTTATTTGTTCTTCCATTTCATCTATTCTGCTTTCATTGCTTTTCCCAGAATTCTGTAGTGCCTCCATTAATTCTTTGATCTCCTGCATTTCTTTTACTTCCCTCTTAGGGACTCAATTTCATTCTTCTGATCGTTGATTATTTTCCCCTTATCATTGTTTTCCTTTATGACTTTTGTCAGTTTTTTAATCATGGCAATTTTAAATTCTCTTTCTGGAAGGCTCAGAAGTTCTTCCAAGTTACTGCCGTTGCAATCTCGGGGGTGGTTTTCTTTTTGTGGTGTGCTTTTTTTCTGAGGAGTTGCTAGGTTGCGTGTGGTTCTTCTACTTCCTACTGTCTGTTTTCTAATTTGCCGTATGGATTGGGACACTGTGTTGCTGGGACTGGCCGGCATCTTGGGTGAGCTTCTCTGTTCCCCTCTGGCTCCTCTGGGAGTCATCTGTCAGTTTCAAGCAGTCTTTACTGAAGAAAGGTCCCTGTTCTAAAATGCCGATGTGGGGACACACTCCCCTGTGCGCCTGGTCTGCCCCAGCAGTGGGTTCCCGCTTCCCCTCTGGGCTTGGACTGCAGGCCAGAGGGGGCCTGGCTGGGAGAACTGCCCCCGCTCACCTCTGGCTCCTGAGGGAGCCTTCTGCAGGCAGTTTTTACTGAAGAAATGTCCCTGTTCTAAAATCGCGATGCAGGACACACTCCCTGTGCATCTGGTCTCAGGCGCACTCTTCTGCGCGCCCGGTTTGCCCCGGCCGTAGGTGCCCTCTCCCCCTGTGGGCTCAGACTACTGGTTGGAAGGGGCCTGGCATGGGCTAACTTCCCAGCTGGCCACTGGCTCCTCCAGGAGCCTTCTGCTGGGTTCAAGTCACTAGGTGGCGCCAGAGATCGCTTCTAGAGCCCTTGGGGAGCTGTTTTTTTTTTTTTTTTTTTCACCCTGTGGGACAGGGAATAGAGTGGGAATGGTAGGGTAAACCTCAACGGCTTTGGGGTGCTATGTCTGCCTTCTGCCCAACTGTCGTGGAGAACCCACGCCCCGAATTTCATGGCCCGGGTCTCAGTTCCAATGCCCTCAGGTCCAGGACATGGGCTGTAGCCCAGTTCAGTGTCTGCAGAATGGCGTCTTTTGCACCCCACTCCCGTGCCTGGGTGCCTGGTTCCTGGTTACTCAGTGAGGGACTTTCACCTCAGTGAGGGTACCCGCACATCTCACCACACGCCTAGGTCACAGGCATGGGGACCTGGGCAGCCGCGATCCCGATCTGCGTTTGCTTTTCCAGTGCGCCGCTTTTCCACACAAGCTTACCGGCCAGCCCTGGGCTGTGTGCTGGTCTCCTCCGGGAGTCTTTGTTGTTCCCTAATGGCGCCCAGAGCTCACCACCACGGCAAATTCTGCAGGGTTCTCCACAGCTCCCGTTCACCGGGTGTGGTGGCTGAAATAGTTCCTTTCCACTCACAGTCCTACTTGCTGTGTAGTTTGTTCTTTTTGGTCGTTTTAGTTTGTTGTTTTCTTCCTCTCTGTTGGTCGGAGAGTGCTGACTTTGTGGGTGGGGGAGGGGAGCAGGGTTCTGCTCTTTCCTCCCTTCTAGTCCTCTTTTATGGCAACTTTCTTCTTCGGGTAGTTTGCTGGAGTCGTCTGTTTATCTTCCGTGTCCCAGTTCTCACTGGGACCTGCCGCTTTTCCTCCCTATTAACTTTTTTTTAATGAGAGATCTTACTCGCAGTGTCTCCTCGCTGCCATGTTGCTCCGCCAAGGTCTGATATTCTATGTTTGCCCTGACATAGTAGGTTTCTCAGATACAAAGCTTGTTTCTGGTAATAAGCCTAATTTTGGGTAAGGCCACCCATTTTCATACTAGGTAGTTATAGATGTGATAACCATTTCTTAAGATGAACCTCTGATGATCCTCAGATGAAAATAATTCACGTGCCAATTGGCCTGTCTGGGGGACACCTTTCTGAACATCTTGGGGAGGCCTGTCCTTCAGCGCATAATAAATGAGCAAAGAGCAGATGAGGGTGAGGATGGGGCAGGACCAGGAGGCAGATTAGGCTACAGGCCTCTTCAGTATGGTTGGGTCCTGGGGCAGGACGTGGAGTGGGCTGAGGGCAGAGGGGACAGGCTGGTTCTATGGGGCCAGAGCACGTGTGTCAGGGATAGAAGTGACAGTTATGGGAAGAGATAAAATCTTTTCCTTATGCTTAATTTATATATATATATATATTTTTTGATACTATTGATACTATCTGATACTTTGATACTTTTGATACTATTGATAGTATTGGTCGGGTCCTGTTAGGGCTACTGCTTCTCTGCGTTCACAATAAACACGCTCCTTCCTACCAGCACGGGGCTCTTTGTCACCTTCACTCAGTTTCCATCTCTCCTGACAGTGTCTCCAGGGGCATCTCTCTGCTCCCCATTGTATCTGCAGGGGAGGCAACTTGGGGAGGCAGGAGCCAGCCAGGGAGAGGGATGCTGGGAAGTGAAGAGGAAGCAAAGGCAGAGAATACTTGGGATTGCTCCCTGGTACACTGAGAAAAGCATTTCTCAAAGTGTGGTCTGTGGCGCCCTTGAAGTTACCCTGAAACTTTCATGGAGTCCACGAGGTAAAACTAGTTTCAAAACATCACCTAGACACCATTTGTCTTTTCACTATTTGGCATTTGCTGAGGTAAAAATTCATAAGAGTGGAGCTTATAGCACCACTGCAGAAGTAGTAATTCTTCACCAGCACTTACCTGCAGGAACAAAAATCAAAGCCAGTTTCACTTGAAAATGTCCTGGGAAAAGCATTAAAAGTTATCTTCATTAGTGCATCATCCTCAACTTCACATTTTAAAATATGTGGTGTGCTGACCTGGAAGGATACACAGAGCACCTCTGAGGCATCCCAAGCCAGTGTCCTGAGGAAAATATTTATATGAGATGAATTAGACTCTTTTTATTTGTGGGCAACACCAATCTTACCTGAAGGGATGAATGACACAAACTAAGGTTATTTAAATTTGGGTAATTAGCAGACACTTTCCTCAAAGTGAGTGTCTGTTTCTTGAAGAAAATCAACAATGGCAAACGACAGTAACTTTGCCTGATAAAATATAAGCTCTCAGAGAAAACCAGAATTATGAAAAATTGAGTGCCTCACTACTTGACAATTTATAGTATAAATTTTTCTTTTGGGATTTCTGATTAAAAAATACAATATTTTTGATCATTTGATTCCAGTTTAATTAACACTAAAAATCTATGTAACTTAGTGAAACAATGTATCACCTTAAAAAATCATGTATTAGCACAAGTTCCAACCAATATGCAAGAGAAGCCTATAGAAATGTAACAGAATAGGAAATATTCCCTGATACTATTTCAGGTTTCACTTAGCAAATAATCTTCCAGAAACTGCCACCTGTACAGTTTTAATTTAGTATCAATATTCACAATTATCTGAAAACACTACTAGCTTCTTCATTCCTCCAGGCTGCTGCTTCTCCCAGCCCAAATCCACCCCTCCCTAAGGTGGGGAAGGGAATTTGGAGCCTGCCCTTTCTGTGGATGTCACCCTGTTACAGCATCATGTCTCCCTCTCACAGGCTCGGTGGGGTGGTGCAGCCTTAATGACCCCACACTCACCCCATTCTCTCTCCCCATTTCCTGGGGGTTTCCAGGGAAGACAATCAGCATCATCCTGCTCCAGTTACAAAGTCTCCAAGGACCCTCCTGGACTCCTTCTCCCCAGGCCCCTGGATGGGGTGTGATGCCCCTCACCCTCCTGCTGCTACTCTGGGGGCCCCTGGCCCTGATGGAGACCCGGGCTGGACACTGTTGCTCCAGGAGGGAGGAGCAAGGAGCCCCCTGCGGGAGCAGGACCCCAGGAAAGGTTCATCTCCCCCCAACCTTTTGTACCCCCTTCAGGCCCCTTGTGTTCTGGCCCCTTCTGTCCCTCCCGCCTCCCCTGAGGGCTCTGGACCCCTGAGTCTGGGCCCTTCTTGGCCCACCCCCCTTTTCACTCTCACGCCCCCCCCTTTCTCCCCTCGAGGCCCATCTCCCTGGGTCCTGAGCCCGCGCTGAGAGGAGGGTCAGCCCGGGTCTCCCCTCCCGCCCCCAGGCTCCCACTCCCTGAGGCTATTCTACACAGCCATGTCCCGGCCCGGCAATGGCAACAGCAAAGTCAATGGCAACGGGGAGCCCCATTACATCGCCGTGGGCTCCGTGGACAACACACAGTTCCTGCGGTTCGACAGCGACTCTCCGGGCCAGAGTGTGGAGCCCCGGGCGCCCTGGGCGGGGCAGCTGGGGCAGGAAGCTCTGGACGAGGAGACTCTGATCCAAAGAAACAACGCACAGTGGTTCAAAGAGCTCCTGAAGGACCTGCGCGGCCGCGACAACCAGAGCGAGGACGGTGAGCTTCGCGGAGCGGGGCCAGGGTCAGGTCACACCCCCATTCCCACCCTAAGGCCGGGGTGTCCCGAGTCTCAGGGTCCACTGACCCCTCGAGGCTGGTGGATCTGCCAGGCCCCTCCACGGGGAAGGGACTGTCCTGCCGACCCATTCATTTTCAGTTTAGGTTTATTCAGGGTGAGAGCGCGGGGTGACCGCGGGGTGACCTTCGGGCTGACCGCTGGGCGGGTTTCAGGGTCTCACACCCTCCAGAGCATGTTTGGCTGTGAAGTGGGGCCAGACCTGAGCCTCCTCGGCGGGTATGACCAGTTTGCCTACGACGGCGCGGATTTCATCTCCCTGAGCGAGGACCTGCGCTCCTGGACCCCCGCGGACTCGGTGGCTCAGATCACCCAGCGCGAGTGGGAGGCGCAGGGGAGGGCCAGGCGCGTCAGGAACAGTGTGCAGAGCAGGTGCTTCCAGTGGCTCTGCAGACTCCTAGAGTCGGGGAAGGAGGTGCTGCAGCGCTCAGGTAAGAGGGGCCACGAGGCCTCGGACCTCCCCTCTCCTGGCGCCCCACAGGGAAAATGGAATAATGGGCAGAATATCACCTGTTTTCTGGGCAGAGGGAGAGTCCCCAGGGTATCATGTTCTGTGCTGGAAAGAGACTCACCCAGAAGACACCACTTTTCTGGACAGTTAAGGAATCCAGTCTCTCCTGAGGGAGGGAGGCCATCCTGAAATAACTCTCCCTGGATCCTTGTGACCCTCAGCCATCCTGGGGACCATGAGTTTCCCTTTCAAGGTCTTGTTTTTGGTCTGAGAACATTTCTGGATCTGACTCCAGCCTTTCTGTGTCATTCACCCTCCACCCAGGTCAGGAGCAAAAGTCTGTGTTCTCCTTAGAGACCTGCATCCTCCAACCCTGGGCTCTCATCTGATTATCCCAGATTCCCCAGACTAGGCTGGTTTCTGGGCTTTGTGCTTCCTCCCTCCAAACCAATTGTCATGTCCATTCTGAGGATGGTCAGTGAGGCTGCTTCATTATCCACAGAAAAAACCCAAAGTGTGAATTTTTGTCCACTCCCCTCAGATCCCCCCAAAACACAAGTGACCCACCACCTCACCTCTGAGCATAAGGTCACCCTGAAGTGCTGGGCCCTGGGCTTCTACCCTGCGGAGATCACCCTGGCCTGGCAGCGTGATGGGGCGAACCTGACTCAGGACACAGAATTGGTGGAGACCAGGCCTGGTGGGGATGGAACCTTCCAGAAGTGGGCGGCTGTGGTGGTGCCTTCTGGAGAGGAGCAGAGATACATGTGCCGTGTGCAGCATGAGGGGCTGCTGGAGTCCCGAGTCCTCACTTGGGGTAAGGAGGGGGATGTGGGCACTGAGCTTCTGCTCAGAGGAATCAGGAGCCATTTTGGAGACCTTCAGAGCATTAGGTGAAGGCCTGAGGCTCAGGTCTCCCCTTTCTTTCCCTTGCAGTGCCCCCTCCTCAGTCCTCCATCCCTAACACTTGCCTCGTTGTTGGCCTGGTTCTCCTTGGAGCTGTGCTCACTGGAGCTGTGGTGGCTGCAGCTGTGCGGTGGAGGAATACGCGCTCAGGTAGGGAAGGGTGTGGGGGATCTTGTCCACTGGGGACTTTCATGTCCCAGGGAGAACTCGCCCTTTCTGGTTATTAGGGTGTATGATCCATACACATGTTGCCCAGTCTGGAGCTGACTGTGAACACTCACTCTTTGTAAAGCACTTATGAAAATGAATCACCAATTGTTCACCTTGTAACTGTGGTGATGGGGATCTGTTTCCCAGGAAATGTCACAGGGGAAGGACCCTGCTGAGGAAAGACTCCAATTCCCTTTCATATCCATTCTTCATATATCCCAGTCCTGACCTGGGTCATCAGTTACAGTTGTAGAAACTTCCCTGTGACCCAGACTTGGGGATTCCTTTTGGACTTGTCACCTGACTCCTCCCTTGTCTCACATGATGTTTCTTCCCACAGGGGGACACGCAATCAGCTACAGTCAGGCTGCAGGTAAGTGTGGCTTAGGAGTTGGGTTCTGAGCCCCTGAGGACAGCGTAGAGGGAACTCTAGGAAGAGTCACCCTCTTCAGTTCCTCTGAGGGTCTCATCTCTGGGCTCTGACCAGGTCTCTCTTGTGCTTCCTCAACCAGCAACAGCACCCGGGACTCTGGGATGTCTCTCACCCCCTGGGAAACCCCAGAGGACAGGGCCAGGTTGTGGGGAGCTGTGAGCGGGACAGTCTTAGGATGTAGTAAGTACACTATTGAGAATGTTATCACTTAATGTAACTCACCCGAATTTCTTCAATATTATTTTCCATCATATAATGAGTACTCTGCCTTGTGTAGGACTGAATGTTATAGGATTTCTCTCCCCCCATTTTGTAACTTCAGGATCCTCTGCTTTATTTAATTTGTTTGTTTTCTAGCTGTCATTGGTTAATATAAAATTTTTTATTAAATCTATGCATTTGTTCTCTTACATCATTGTTAATTTTTGTATAATATTTGATTTCTCTCTCAGGTGTAGTCCTTATAGTTCTCGCACCACCATAGCACCCATGATCCATCACTACAGTCCCTTGTGCTCTTCCCTCCTCTGCTGTAGGCCTCAGATCTAGGATCAGGCTGCAAGTGTTGTCTTTATTCTGATTCTTTGTTTGATTTCTGTATATCCCATATATAATGGAAACTATCTGATATTTATTTTTTCCTTCTGACTTATCAAGCTTAGTATCCCTTCCTATCCCATCTGTATTTCCTAAATGGCATGAGTTTTTGTTTTTGATCACTGAGTAATATTCCACTGTATATATATATGGACCACACCTTCTTGATCCATTCACGACCCCTTGATTTAAAACACAATGATAACCTGAAGCATGACTTTTCCCAAGCCTGCTCTTTGGGGGAGTCTGATGCTTTGTTTCTGTTGTCTTCCCAAATCTGCTTGTTGGGGGAGTCTACCGCTTTGATTCTGCTGCTTGCTGAAGCAAAGAACTTGCTGGGTGTACCACACGGCTTGTCCGTGGTGGTAGCTGTGACTCCCTTGAACCATCTTCCTGAACAACAAAGAATGCTTATGCTATGATGGATGGGATAGCAAATTTCTCTTACAAACTGTAAAAAGCCTTGCCATTCTTGTTCTGGGTGCTCAGCCCTTTGGGGAGCAATCCCACTGAGCCCACCGGTGTGACAATTAAATCTCTTTCTCTCCACCTCTCTGAGTGCCATCTGATTTCTCTGGGAAACTGCCATAACATTGTTGGTTCCCTGGCTCTAGTTCAGCCCATCCCAAGGGACTGAGGAGAGCCTGGTCACTTCTCACGCCGCTTCGCCGGGCCCGGCAGAGTTGTCTGGGGGGTGGAATGCATAGCCAGATGCCAGATCTTTGTTTTAGATACAAAGTAGTAAGTGATTTTGTATAAACCATTAATAAATGAAGGCAATAAATTGATCAGTGACTGTTTTCTCACAATAAACAGGTGCGCCAGTGTAACTCTGTGACATTCAAGATGGTGATAACAATGAGCTCTCAGATAAGGATTCCATGTCCCTTGAAGTGTCTTTCAAAATAAACATGATTTAAAAAAATTATTTCTATCTATTTTAGATTCCATTTACTTTTGCTGTTCATTTCTTTTTCTTCACACTATCCTGAGTGGTGTCTGCAGGGTCATGGCACTGTGGGGCTGTCAGCAGCCTGGAGCTCTGAGGGGGGATGACTGTGACCTGCCTGTAGGGAGTGGGGCCATGGAGCCCCAGAATCAGCCCCTGGGGCTGGTCCTTCAGGGCAGCTCAGGCCTTGCTCTGCCCTCGTCTTGGCCCCCTAAATCTCCCTGACACCCCAGCATTGGGGAACTAAGGAGGATGTCCTGGTAAGGAGGGGTGAAGGACTCCCCTTATCCATCTATCTCCCCCATACTCTGCCATCTGCTGCATCAAGACAAAACTTGTAAGACCTTTAGTGGAAAGGAACTTTAATACAATTCATGTGCAATGAAGAAAAAGGAAAGAATAAAGTTCCAAACCAAACATTCAAAGTCACCCGTCCCCTTGTGGGTAAATGTTCAGCCAACAGTGTTGGCCAAGTAGGGCCTGAAAGCCTGCCACCTAACGCACCTCCTGGCGGGCACCCATGGAAAAGGGGTGGACGGGGCTGACAAGTCTGGAAGGAAAAGAGCAAAATCAAGATGGAAGCTGCCATTATAACTTCCCCACGGGTCTCTCATCCACATCTGTGCCACCCAGTCCAAGGCCAAGAAGTAAGTGCAAGTTCTTCACGTGTCTCTCGCTCCATGTGTCTCCTCCAGGTGTCCTGGATCATCCTGCTTCCTTCCTTCTCCAGTCTCCTCTCCAGCTGCTTCTCCATGCTCAGCTCCACCCTCCTTGGGTGGAACAGGGAACCTGGATCCTCACCTGGGGACCACCCTGTTACATGTCCTCTCCTTCAGGCCCCAATGTATGTAGTTCCCTGGGCAGTTACAGACCAACCCTGCTGCATCCCACCAGGTGAAACAGAGACACTCCCAGACCCCAGTGAGAGCCCCGTGTCACCCACACAGACCTTCCCCCCACAGTGTCCCCTATGCTGCCCCTTCCCTGCCTGGTCCTCTCTGGCTCCCCTCTGCACCCCTTCCCACCTCTGTCCCCTAAAGTCCCCATTTCCATCCTCTGCTCTCTTTTCCAGGAGTCTCCCCATCTTCCTAGCCAGTGCCCTGGGGCTCTCCTAGGCCCCTCCCCTCCTCCGAAGGGTGGAGAATGTAAGGTGATGCCCAGGAGAAGAGGCTTTCTTCCATGGAAGCAGAAGCAGAAACAAATTACAGGGACCCTGGGATCTCAGTTTCCATCCCAATAGATTGAGGCAACCTATATATTTGGGGATTTGCCCAGAACCTAGAAACCAGTTGTTATGTCCCGTAGACCACTGGAGACTAAAAATAAGGATAAACTGACACATACTTGAGCACCCCCTTGTGTGCAGACCCCTGTTCTGCTGCTGGTAGCCAATGGAGCCTGGGGAGGGCCAGGCTGAGCAGAAGAAAGGGCAGCTCTGGGCTCCTGTGTTCAGCCCTGTGGCCACACGGGGGGGCACGGGGGGGCTGCCGTGCTGTTCTGGAGTCTGGAAAAGACCTAATGCACACAAAGAATTCTAAAGAATTCTCAGTTGGGGGCCTCCTGGTGGTTCAGGGGCTAAGACACAACTTGTGAAGCAGTCTGCAGCCACTGCAGCACAAGTTCGGTTCCCAGCCAGGGAGCTACCCACATGGCACCTCAGACCTCCCTTGACTCACCTGCTGCTCCCCTCAGCAGTGTACTTCAGTCAGTCTGCCTGTTCTGCTCCCCACCGTTTCTCCGGTGAATCTTCTCACCCCTCCACACACACCTCTTCTTTATCCCTTTTCTATTTTGTTACATCCGACAGGTGTAAAGTTGTTTTTTTTTTTTTTAGAACTAATGAAGCAATGCTGACATAATTACTAAATGCCATACTTTCATTAATTTTTGCTAATGTCCATTTTATGCTCCATAATCCCATCCAGTTTGCCTAGATGACAGTTTCTCAGACTTTCGTCATTTTTGAAACATTGACTTTGGTGAGGAGTGATGTTTTGGTAGGTCGTGGGTTCACAGATGGGGGTTTTTGGGTCACCTCTTAGAAGAAAAGTTTCACCAAAGTCCTCCTTTCAGTGGTGTGCGTGTCCACACCCCACACTCTGCCCCAAACCCCCACACACAAAAGGAAAGGAGGTGCTTGTGCAGACCCCAGAAGGCAGGAGGAGCTGCCCCTGGAGAGAGCAGGTATGTTAGGAGAAGCCTGCAGACCCAGGCGGCAGCCTTGGGAGCAGAGCTGTCTCTTCCCAGGGCAGAAAGGGCACTGAGGTGGTGTTCTAGTTGGGAGGGCTCATTCCTTTGTGCAATTGTTATCTGTCTTTAAATGAATGACTTCTATGGTGTGACTAGGCTGATTTGTCAGGACCAGCAATTCTCTGCAGTGGCTCCATCTGCGTATCCCAACTCTGGTCTGTATACATCCTGTAGTGTCTGATACTTGCTATAGCAGTTGGCCCCAAGCATTTTTCATTTCTATAGTTGGTTTAATAACTATGTTAATCACTTCTACCCTCACCTCCAGTTTCTGGTCATGTGCCCCCTCCACCCTAATGTTTCTACTTTTGTTTTTTTAAAGATTTATTTATTTATGCATATAAGAACTGGGGCACAAGCTAGAGGTGTGGGGGAGAGAGATGATTCACCAGAGACAGAGTGGGGTACAGAACACGCAAATTGACTGAAATACACTGCTGAGGGGAGCAGCAGGGAGTCAGGAGAGGTCTGCTGCACCATAAGGGTAGCTCCCTGGCCAGGGATCGAACTTGTGCTGCAGAGGCTGAGTATAGCTTCATAGGTGGCATCTTAACCCCTGGAGACACCAGGGAACTTAATTTTTTATTCTTAGCCTCCATCAAGGAGCACTGCTCTGGAATATAGTACCTCAATTTAGGGTATTTTTGTTTTTGTTTTTTGAGTGGGACTGTGGGTTTGGGAAGCAGACCCCCGGGGTGCAGGGCCACTGTCCATTCAATACGTCAGTGCTCATCATGTCCACCTGACTGATCACTGATGGTGTTAACCTTCAACACTAGGCTAAGGCAGTGTTTCCCAGATTTCTTCCTGCCAAACATCTTTTTGTTCCATTTATTTAAATGCTGTTGTCTTTGGAAGGAAGCGCTATGTGCAGCTCACACTTACGGGTGTTCTGCTATAAACATTTGCATGCATGCAGGGTTGATAAGTAGCCTGGGCAGTGATCGCTGGGCTGTATGTCAGGTTTTCTGGTTTTTAAATAAACTGTCAAAGATCTTACACAGCGACCGGCCATTTCACTCTCTTGCTGGCAGTGACAAGGCTCCTGTGTCCACATCCTGGGCAGCACCTGTGCAGGATTTGCATTTTTCAGCCTCTCCTAGGTGTGATGGCATCACTGTTGTTCTTTTTGTCTTTCCCTAGTGCCCTGTGATGCTGAGCATCTGTTCATGTTCTTCCCTGTCATCTGTATCTGTTCTTGGTGATGTGTCTGTTAAAATCTTTTGTACATTTTTCAAATGAGGCACTATTCATTCACAATACTGTTTTTGTCCTTTTAAAAATTGGGTTGTTTCTTTTTGCTCATTGAGTTTTAAGTGTTATTTTGTAAATTCTAGATACAGTCCTTTATTGGATTCATGATATGCAAATGTTTCCCCCACTCTGTGTCCTGTACTGACAGGAAAACAAACACTAGTGTCCACACAGAAGCATAGATATACATTTTTTTTTAAGAGTTATTTATTCATTTATACAGGAACTGGGGTACAGGCCAGATTCGTGGGAGGGTAAGAGGATTCACCAGAGACAGAGAAGAATACAGAACAGGCAGACTGATGAAATGCACGGCTGAGGGGAGCAGCGGGCTCAAGAGGAGAAGTCTACCACGCTATGTGGGACACTCGCCGGCCGGGATTGACCCAGCGCTGCAGAGGCTGTGGACAACTCCATAGCGCAGCGCTCAACTGCCTGCGCCACCAAGGGAGGCCCAGCATAGATACACATTTTTTTGGAAAAGAGAAATAATAAATCACTAACTGGTTTTGAGCAGATACTGGCTGCCTGGGGTGTTGGGGGATGGAGGGCAAAGACTGATTTAACTTATGTGTACCCTTGAGTGTGATGTAAATGTCCAGGTATGTGCATGAAACATGCTTTGAAAAGTCAGTTACACTACACTGCTCAACTTATAAAACTCTTCACACGTCACATCCAAATCACGTGTTAAGACCAGACTGGCACGTGTATTACCAGTGATGGACCCGCCTGTCATGGGTGTTGGACAAATGTATATTGACCTGTGTCCATCATTATAATATCATGCAGAGTATTTTCACTGCCCACAATGTCTTCTATGCTCCAAGGAAACAAAAGCAAAAAGAAACCAATGGAATTGCATCAGACTAAAAAGCTTCTACATAGTGAAGAAAAATATCATTAAAATGAAAAGACAATATCGAGTCGGAGAAAATACTTGCACATCATATATCCAACAAGGAGTTAATATTTAAAGAACTCCAAAACAAGAAAACAACCAAATCACAACAGGGGCAGAGGCGCTAAATAGGCACATGTGGCCAAAAGGTATATGGATAAAAGTTTATCATCATGTGCTGTCTGGAAATGCCAATTAAAACTCCAATGAGTAACTGTTATAGGGTAGCCCTGATACAAAACAGGGGTGCCTGACTGTGGGTCCTCACCCGCGTGCTTAAAAGGACTTATCAATGCTCTACTACATCACACGTGAAAGGTTAATAAAAGGTTTATTTACAAGGGAAGAGGAAATGAGGAAATGTACAGCTCAGGGAGAAAAATGGGAGACAAAGTTTTAAATGAGTCCTACCCGATCTGCTGATCTGGAATCCCAAATGGCACTCTGAGAGCTGGCCGCGAGCCAGGAGCCGTGAAGCCAGGAGGCGAGCGACAGCAAGCCAGCCCAAGGCCCATGTGTTTGGTTTTTATATCCAACCTGGCTGCTTAACTCCACCCTCAGGTCCC